GTTATGTTTTGTGAAGGGGATCAAATACTTATTTCCCTCATGAACATGAAAATCAGACATCATTTGTTAGACATGCATTTCTTTTGAATTTTTTGTTGCTATTCTGTCTCTCAGTGTTACAATACACCGAATATTCGATTTTTAGATCGATCATTTCTTTGTGAGTGGGCAAACATTCAAAATCAGCAGGGGATCAAATGCTTATTTCCTTCACTGTAACCATCTTCTGAAATTCAAATTTTGACTACAGTAAATTTTGAATTTGAAATTCCCAAATTCAGTCAAATTGACTTCAATTTGAATTTTTCTGTTGAATTAAATTCAATTAGAAATTTTCCAAATTCGGTCTAATTGAATTCAAATAAATAAAACAAATTCTGAAAACAAATTAAATGAATTTAACTAAACAAAATTATTTAAATAATGAATTGAAACAAAACAAAACAAACTTTTTCATTCTGCGCGTGTCTACAATCCACCTCCACTATATCCTAAAGTAAAGTTTTGCCTTTAGCTATATTTTAACACACAGCAACAATGTGAATGGACCATTAGGAGAACAGAAGGACAACTAAGGGGCAGCTATAATATAAACTAGTGTTTTTATATTAACCTCCCACTAGAGGAAAAACATATTTTTTCCACTTTTAATACAGTAATGGGGGGTTATAGCCCTGTCTGTTGGGGTTTTTTTTGTTTTGTGTTTTTTGTTTGTTTTGTTTCTTTTCCCATTTGTGTGCCTTTGGGGAGATTTCCCTTTGCGTCCTATCCTATAACCAAAAGAGGAAGTGAGAAGAATCCCACTAATGTCTCCGAGAACTAGTTTCCCCATTGGAAGATTTTTTCTCTTTCCTATTCCCACTTTCATGTTCAGCGATAACTGGATAAAATACAAATAGAGGGGGTGAATATCCATAATGGGGATACAGAAATAAAAACCCAGGGGTTCTAATTCCTCTCTAATCTATCCAAAACTAAAAAGAAAATTTAATTTAGTTGAACTTTAAACCGAAACTAAACTCCCTTAAACAGCAAAATCTTACTTTGTCCCTCCACCACAAATACGAAAAAAAATGTTTATTATATTTTTTTACATTTTTCACATATAGCAAGAACATTATTCAACTTGAGCCTGTGTTCACATTGATGCAGTGCCGCACAGGGACCGTACTGCATTCCTGTGCCAATCGCATGCAGTGCAATTTGAGCCATATATTTTGTATGGCTCAGATTGCACCACATCCACAACAAAATAGAGCAGGACCCTTTTTTTTTTGTCCGCACCAGTATCAGATCGCATGAGTATTCACATCCATGCTATCTGATTCTGCACATCGCTCCACATTTTGTGAACCAATTTAGCTGTGTAGTTAACTTTAACATACACACTCGCAGCGGTTCGCATGAAGGGGGTGCGACCATGATGCGGTGCGGTATTCCGTGTGAACCCCGGCTGAGTCAGAGCTACAGTTTGTTATTATCTACAGACATCCCTTATCTGCAGAGCCAGTTTTTTGGCAAAGGTGCACTAACCCTTTAGGACCAGTTCACACCATTGAAATGAATTCCGGATGTGTTTCCGCCTGTGCATTTTTGGTGCGCTTCAGTGCATTTTTTATGCGTTCTGGTTAATTTTTTCCTTTTTCTTCATATTTATTTATTTCAGGTACTTATATATAGCGCCATCAATTTACACAGCACTTTTACATATATATTGTACATTCACATCAGTCCCTAACCCTCAAGGGGTGTACAATCTAAGGGCCCTAACTCACATCCATACATACACATACTAGGGACAATTTAGACAGGAGCCAATTAACCTACCAGCATGTCTTTGGAGTGTGGGAGGAAACCCACGCAGGCACAAGGTGAACATACAAACTCCAGGCAGGTGGTGCCGTGGTTGGGATTTGAAGCGGCGACCCTAGTACTGCCAGGCAGAAGTGCTAACCACTTAGCCACTGTGCTGCCAATAGGGACATGTACATTTTTGGTACATTCTAGTATGTTTTTGATGTATTTTACTGTGTTCCAGTACAGTTCTGTGCAGAAAAAATGCAGTCCGTTCTACCCTTTTTTTTTCTGCAACCAGAATGCACTGGAACTGCAAGCACTGATGTGAACTATGAAATTGACAACCATATAACCTACTTTCTGTGCGTTTTGGATGCAGAAAAAAATCAACTGAAATGCATGTCGTGTGAACTGGTCCTTAAGGTCATCCTTTTTAAAGTTACAATGAATCAATAATGTTGCTACATTGTAACTCTCACTGACCGCAGACACTGTTGTGCGAATGTCAATTTACAACAAACACAAGAGTTGTCCCTGCGATACAGAAAAGGTCAGAGATGGCTTATTGTAAAGATGACACAGGAGAATGACTGGTACATGCAGTTAGGAAGCTGCTGGGGGTGAAAGAAGAGCGAGGTGCACTATACCAAGTACTACAATGATGTTTTTCATGTGTGTGTGTTACCCCTCTAAGGTTCCCATCTGGCTTCAGATGAAGTTACTTTTCCGTACCCATGATGGTAATTTCCTCTGTTCTGTCATACAGCTCTATGACATATATGATGTAGTGATGAGATATGTGCCGGGACCCCATCACAGGGCACACAAGTGTATTCTGCAGCTGGAGCAGTTTGTGAAAGAGAAAACCGAAATCAGCAAAGCCACCCTGAACACAAGCAACCCACGTCACCTGATAGACAGTTTCCTCATCCAGATGGAAAAGGTACGCTATGTCATTATTTGGGTTATTTTTTAACCACGTGCCCTCCAGAGGATTTGCCCCCTTCCTGACCAAGCCTTTTTTTGCGTTACAGCGCTGCATTATTTTAACTGACAATTGCGCAGTCATGCAACACTGCACCCAAATGAAATTTACATTTTTTTCCCCCACAAATAGAGCTTTCTTTTGGGGGTATGTGATCGCCTGTACATTTTTTTTTTTCACTATAAAAAAAAACAAAAATTTTGAGAAGAAAAACAATATTTTTGACTTTTTGCTGTTAAACATGTCCAGTAAAAAAAATGTTAAAATCAAAATTCATAAATTTAGGCCAAAATGTATTCTGTGACATGTCTTTGCTAAAATAAAATCCCAATGCGTGTAAATTAATTGGTTTACGTGAACGTTATAGCGTTTGCAACTGGCAGAATCATTTTGTGGTGCTAAATAATTATGTATTAGCTAATGACAACAAGGAAAGCAGTAAAATAGATCCCCTGCAATCATCAACAATAGACCCTCTCCAGCAATGGACCACCCACAGCAAAATACCAACCCCAGCAGCAACAACAGATCTTCCAGCATCAATAGACCCCCCCCCAAATCAGCCAGCAACCTCTCTCTCAACAGTAGATCCCTACCAGCAACATACTGTAAGACCCCCAGCAACAATAGATCAACCACCAGCAATAGACTTTCACACAGATTCCCACCAATGACAATAGATTCCCCAGCAGCCAGCACCAATAGACCTTCCAGCAATTGCCACACCCCTTGCCATTACATACATCCTGTGCAGGAGGTGCCGGAACTGCGTTCCCCCCGCGTTCCAACTGAAAAAAGCCCTGTTTATACCTATACAATAGTTTTATGAAAGTATCATAATGCTAAGCATCAATGTTTTGTGAGTTTTACATTTTAATCTTCTGTTTTTCGGTTCCTATGGTAATGCATGTTTTAGGCTATGTTTGCACTAGCCCATGCCCTGTAAAGTGGTCCATGGTGGATAAAATTTCAGAAGGCAGTTAAGGAGGCGTTCCTGCCATCTCCCGGCAAGCGGTAGTTTACAATGGGACTAATGCGCTGCAAACGTTTTTTCCCATAGTTGTGGCACAGCCCCATTGATATGAATTGCCGAATTTGACAGGTGGTGTCTGTCACTTCACCATGCCCAGCTAGACTTGGCGCACCTGCAGCACAGGGTATCGCTGCCATGGCATGTGAACCCTGTTGAACATTGTCTTACTCCTTTAAAGACCCTGCAAGTACAGACCAATATCTGTTGGAAATAAGTGCAAGAAATGCACCACTCAGCTTTTAATTTCCTATGGTCTGCTTGCTTCCAGTACAGCGCCATTGACAGCTCCTGGTCTTTATTTATGATCAGGAGTTACCAGGACAGACTTTTAATTATGTGACTACCGTGACATCCAGTCAGTGGTCATGTGATCAGCAAGTCCACCCCCCCCCCCCAGTTAAAAAGCTATGGCGAAAGGGCAGAAATGGGTTAAAGGATATATAAACATTCACACATGGAGAGTGTAAATAGAGACGGGCAGGGGCGGACTGACAACTCATGGGCCCCCAGGCAATAGGTGATCATGGGGCCCCTGTGTCCTTGCCCAAACTCAAAAAAAGACTATGAAAAAGGTACCAGGGGCATCTCATGGGGCCCCCTACTGACCCCAGCCCTCAGGCAGTGCCAGAGTTTCCAAATGGTCAGTCCCCCCTGGAGACGGGTGAAGTACATGTTCCCATCACAAGAACAGCTAGAATGAGTAACCGAAAGCAAGAGTTTAAAGCGAAACTTCTCTTTAAATGGGAAACTCTTCTTTAACATCTCTTTCCCCCCTCCTCACGTTTGGATTGTTTTTTTGTTTTTTTTGGAGGGGGCTGGTACTAAGTTTTAGCAGGTGCCCCCTCCCATGTCTGCTCTGACCACCTAGGTGATTGGAGGCACACAACCTTCTGGGATACGTCATAGGCCCCAGAAGGCTACGGATCCATTCATACAGCATGCGCCCTTTCACTGCTGTTGAAAATTAACATTGATTTGACCCCCACTAACAATTAGAAAATCGAACGAATATTCTTGAAATGAAAATTCTTGAACATAAATCTATACATGTATAGCCAACTTAAGTCGTGTTAGTCCTCTTCTGTTATAGAGTGCTTTTTGTTTCATTTTTCTTTTGAGACAGGGTCACATTGTAATCTTCCAAAGACTATACAATGAGTGAATCTCCATGTTCCTTACTTGCAGGAGAAGCATAATCCATCCACACATTTCTCCATGAAGAATTTCTATACAACTGCTATATCTTTGTTTGTGGCCGGAACAGAGACAGTGAGCACCACAGTGAGACATGGACTCCTGCTTCTTCTCAAACACCCCAACGTTAAACGTAAGAGGCCAAGACAGAGCGCTTCATAATGGGACTTTGGTTGGAGCAGTATCTATTTTTACTTTTTTTTTGTTGTTTGTTTCAATAATCCATATTTCTATGGTACTTTTCCCCCTGGGAGCTCAAAGTGCTTTATTTGCTGTTGGTCACTTCAAAAACTGGCATAGACTACAGCTCATATGGTGTGCATCTTTTTACTCTTAATTCTCACCAAGTGTTGCTTGTTTACTTGATGACAGCAGTGGCCTATCATGTGATATATTTCTTCTGCCACCAGGGTTCTCTAACTCCTGACTAAGTCCCGTGGTCAGAGCGAAACGCATCGGGGGGGGTCTCAGACTGAGTTGGCGAAGGCTGCTAGCAACTTAGTATGAATGGGTGCTGCATGATGTGTGGTGGCTAGAACATGTCCCTTGCTTGTATTTCCACATAGAGTCAGGACAGGCTCTTCTTCAGTCTGCACCCTACCGGATACCATGACAGCAGCCTGAGTGGAGACGCTTTCTAGGTCCTTAATAAAACAAAGTTATTTAAAAATCTAAATCTGAAGAAAGGAAATTAGGTTGGCAAACAATCAAAATTAAAACAGAATTTTTCATTGCAGCGATTTACATTAGACTAACACACCACAATGCTTGGGTGTGAATGGGCCCTAAGGGTTACAAAGCATTTTGAATGGCATTAGGGTAATACAGCTCCAATACACATTGCATTGCAGTTCACCACAACACACGGTAACGCACTGATATGCGTTGTAGTGCACTGACTTGGGGAAAAAATTCTGCATGCCTATTGTTTGGTCTGTTCCTGTGCATTGGCAGCTCGTTTAAAAATAATAGGCTGCCTTAACAGAATGCACGGTAACACGCACCGTGAATGGGCTGTCAATCCCAACTTAAGTCAAAAGTTTTCTTTGTTACCATTATCTGGATCTATTATAGTTAATAAAAAAAACCAAACCTTCATCCTGAAAAAATAAATCTTCATTATTTGTCACTTTTTTAAAGCTGCCATTCAAGTAACAGGAAATATGACACACTGTAGCAGAGAAACACTTCAGTAGAAGTGAACACTGTAGGTATAATTATTAACTTCCCATTTGTGATTCTAAGTATACATCGGCCCAGAAGTTGAAATTCCCTTTAGGGCACATGCTGTTTTTTGCTTTTTTTTTGGGGGGGGGGGGGGGTTATTAGTTACTAAAAGTTGATTGATTTTTTTTCTTTCTTACTGACTTTGACCAAGTATCTGTTTGTTAGTTAAGGTACAAGAGGAAATTGACCAAGTGATTGGGAGATTGCGAGCCCCAGGATCACAAGACAGGGAGTCTATGCCTTATACCGATGCCGTCATTCATGAAATCCACAGATACGCTGATGTACTGCCCATGAACTTGCCACATGAGGTCTGTATCCCATTGAGGACATTATCCTTCACTTTTTGGAAGCTTGCTCAAATGAGATTTAATAGAACTCACTCTACATTTCAAACTCACATTCGTCCTGTTTACAATAGAATAAATGTGCACCAGTCAAATGCAGCTACCTGAAAACAGGGGCGGACTGACAACTCATGGGGCCCCCGGGCAATAGGCGATCATGGGGCCCCTGTGTCCTTCCCAAACTCAAAAAAGCCTATGAAAAAGGTACCAGGGGCATCTCATGGGGCCCCCTACTGACCCCGGGCCCTCGGGTAATGCCCGAGTTTCCAAATGGTCAGTCCACCCCTGGTATGTAAGTTAATAAAAAATGTATGCCCACTTTACTTATGCCCACTTTTCCAAATGGTCAGTCCGCCCCTGCCTGCAAACTACTAGAAATCCTAAAAAAACAGTAAAGATTAACATAATCCTGTAGAAGGTCATGCTGCCAGAAATTGCTCTACAGAGTGCTGAAACTGCATTTATACCACAACACGTGAAGGGCTGTCAGTTTTTTTTTTTGTTCGCTAACATAAATACATGTAAGTACCGCTCCAAATATGGGTAATGATGGTCCCAGATTTTCTCGGCACATAAAACCTTTTAGTGGGGTTTGAGCATTGAGGAAGGAGGGTCCTGCTTCCCTTTCCACTGACCTTGCAGTGCAGAATCAGAAGCTGCAAGATTACCTCAGAACCTGAAGGGTAAACATTATTAAAATAGATGAAAAAAAAAACTTTTTAATTAATGTGGGTTGTTTAGATTTATATGCTTTCACATGCATGGTGCACTAGTATGAGATCTGAGGGATCCTAAAACCAGGTCACCAAGTAGGGCCAACCACTTATTTTCCTGCCATGAGAGTGAGGTAAGTGGTTTACAAGTCTTCCTTTTTACAGTATCCCTTCTGGGCACCAGGGTTGCCAAAAATCCCAGTACCCATCAGTATTGGTCACTGATGTTTTGGGTGGGGAACCACTGTTTTTTGGCAGAGCCCCTTTCAAAGCACCCCCCCAATGCTGAAGAATGTGCAGGCTGGTGTCAACATAATATGGAGATGCATGCAGTTACATATCCCTTACTATGGGGTTTCCAGTATGCATGCTTGGTGTGCTTGGCTGGGTAGCTCTAGAAGGGAGTCCAGGCCTTTATTTTTTTCAGTTTTCAAAAATTCACATTTTTATAGGTATTTGGGGCACCTAGGGACAATCTGAAACAGGGGGAAGTACCTTAAGATATAAAACTTGGAAATTTTGCTTTTTGCAACAATAAAATGTGTGCTTATGTACAACATACTGTATGAAACTACTGGAAGATATGATAAGCAGGTGCCACATTTTGTTGCTTGTACTCTGACATACTTTGTAGGCCCTCAGAAGCTCCAGAGCCTCCCATCTTACAGGTCTCATTATTGGTCCTTAGCTGGAATAGCTGGCTTTGTTGACTAGTTGTGCTTTAAAACGGAACATCACCCAAAAGGGCAAGTTCTGCTTTTCTGCCTCCTCCCCATCTCCTCTACCATATTTGGACAGATTTATGGTTTTTTGGGGAGAGTGTTGTACCTAGTAGATCAAAGTGGAAGTTTGCTCTCCGCCCTCCCTGCCTGCAGCTTTTTTTGGATGCATCACAGATTGCAGAAGGATGCAGAACATTCACAAAGCGCTGTGCAGCTCACGCATGTGCAATAGAAAGCTGGCTATGACGTTGGAAGGAGTCACAACCAGCTTCCCCCATTTAAGATGTCGGCACTGGGGACCTGAAGACTTGCACGTGTGAGGACAGCACTGGATCCTTGGACAGGTAGTCCTTTTATTAAATGTTAGTAGCTACAGTATTAGTAGCTGCTTTATTTTTTCCAGACTGAAGAACTACTTGAAGGTCAGTGGGTCTAAGTTTAGCCATTATCAATGTTTGCATTAGCAACTTTTTAGGTTCTTCTTTGTGCACTGGGTGCTTATGTTATCTGTTAGATTCTGTGCTTTTAATCTCACTTAATTCCTATACCTTTTTTATACTTGCAGTAACCTGACCATTTCTATTTGCTTTTTTGTGCAGGGTACAGATGTACTTGCCCCCTTGTCCTTCGTTCTGCGTGATCCAAAGTATTTTCCTGAACCATTCACATTTACTCCAGAGCGGTTCCTAGATGAAAATGGGAGGCTTAAAAAGAATGAGGCCTTCTTAGTATTTTCTGCAGGTACAAGATAATCTTTCATTTCAGCAAACTTCACATAAATCAAACATCAACATTACATTTTATATACATATCTCACTTGCCAGTAAGTGGTGGACTTATTTATACCTCAGTGCCCATTCTACAACTCAAAAGTTACAAAAATCATAAAAAGATTAAGGATAAATTTTACCTTTTTATAAAAAAAATTATAATAAATGCACACCTTTTTGCAGGTAAAAAAAAATGTGCATTTATTATTTTTTAGAACAAAAGCTTGTAAGGCATTGCATACGCGATCAGCAGAACATGGGTGCAATGCCTGGATCCTGCAGACTCTCAGCAAGCTGTCTGTATGTACTTCATATGGGCAGGCAGTTACTTAATGGCAGGAAGAATCAATGGACTATGAGAGTGCTCACCAGCTTCCTCGCAGTTCATGGAGAACTACAAGCTGTCGGTCTCGGAGGCCAACTGTTGATGTAGTTCATTCATTCACAGAACTCTGTGAATGAATTAAGCGGCTGTGTGGGGAGAGCCCTACACAGTTGTGTTGTTTTTAAATTGTGACAGCGGGTGCAGAGAGAAGATCCCCTGTCCTCTGTCATGGGGGGGGGACACGAAGCAGGAACTGGAACATTTCACATGTTGCACTCTAAATACAGGTGGAACGTGAAACATTTCCAAAGGTGAGATAATAATATTGATATATGAGCGCTGGGTGATGAGAGTAAAAAGCGGCCAGCATCAAGAGGCAAACCTCAGAGTCCTCCAATGTGAAACCAAATAAATATATATAAATGCAGCGCTGAAAAGTATTAAAACATATTATTAAAGGTAGTTGAACACTATTGTAGATATGGCATCAAGAAATTAGTCCATAAGGTGCAACGTGACAATGGTGATAAATTGAGTGTGAAGATAGTAGCTTCCGTGACTGTCGTGGCTGTGAAGAATAAGTGTATAATGCACTAACCAGATAGCACAAATGATTCTGTGTTGGACGGTGCTCAGGGAATGGGAACTCAGCATATGGATGAAGTCGCCAGGTAGGAATTAGCCACCAGGTGTCATCCATCCAGGACACGTTACCACTCTCCATTACTCCATGCTGAGCATACTCCTTGCACTACAGCCCAAGTGATTGGCTCCTTGTGCTGCTCCTCCCTCTCCAAGTCTGAGCTCTGCTTCACAGTAGCCTGCAAGAAGCTGATACCAAGCCAAATTCAGGTGCTTGCATTAACACCTGAAGGGAGAATTTCCTTAATTTCCTGTCCTGAAGACTCAGCAGCAAGCTCGTTTTTTGGCTTTTATGAGCCCCCTATCCTTAAGGTGCTTGTTTTGCATTGGAGCCATACTTAAATGCATGATCCCCCTGGTGGCTGAAACCCGTATTGCTGGATACTGCTAACCTGGTCTGTTAGATGTGATCTCTTACTAATGAGGAGTGGTAACCTGTCCGGGATGGATGACACCTGGTGGCTAATTCCTACCTGACGACTTCATCCATATGCTGAGTTCCCATTCCCTGAGCACCGTGGAGTAGGTCTTATGTACTCCAACTCACAAACATTTGTGCTATCTGGTTAGTGCATTATACACTTATTCTTTACAGCCACGACAGTCATGGAAGCTACTATCTTCACATTGAATTTATCACCATTGTCACGTTGCACCTTATGGACTAATTTCTTGATGCCATACCTACAATAGTGTTCAACTACCTTTAATATGTTTTAATACTTTTCAGCGCTGCATTTATATATATTTATTTGATTTCCAAAGGTGAATTTATCCTTTAACGCATTAATTTCTTTTGTTCAACCACCCATCCCATAAAATCTAGTTATTTAGCTTTGAATATAAAATTCCATATAAAACTGGACTGGTTTGGAGTAGAGTTTCTTCCATCCATGGGTGTCTTCTAAAATGTAAATGCTTTAATATCTTTTTCTCCCCCCAAGGGAAGCGAATGTGCTTAGGAGATGGACTGGCTCGTCAGGAAATTTTCCTCACTCTCACCACACTTCTGCAGAACTTTGATATTTCTTCACCAGTGGACTTCAAAGAGTTGGACATCTCACCACAGATGGTTGGTTTTTCCAATTTCCCAAGACCTTTCAAGATAAGCTTTGTCTCACGCAGACTCTGAGACAGTAAAGGCATTTGTGTGATAAGAAAGTCACCCCAGAAAAATAATAAACTAAGAAAATTAAATTTTAGGATTTCATAGGAAGCTACCACCTGACAAGCTAAAGTGTAAGTATAGCTGTGATGATAATGAAGTCTGATGAACTCCAAATTGTGTGGATTGAATGGGGAATCACAGTGAACACAGCACCTCTCTCTTTTCTCCAAAATGGCGTGACAAAAACAGTCAAATTTAAATCCCATGTCTATGCTAGACAATCATGTAAGGTAACACATTTGACAATGTACAGCCATCTTACAGCTGAAGTTTAGTATATTTTTTGGGATGCAGCACCAAACACATAACATATTCCTCCATCCACATGGGGCCAGCTGTCAAAATACCAAAGCAGTGCCTGCACGTAATTAGATGCAGTTGCTGTTTGGCCAACAGTTTTCCATCCAGCTCCTTCAAATTTTCAGTGAAGGAATGTTGGGTGGGAGACAGTGCCCGATAGGGTCAAGCACCAATTTAATTCTGGCCCGTACTTCAGAAACCATCCAAAATGTGATTCATGTTCAACCAGGTTAAGAGATGTTTTACTAGGATTATATGATGTCCTCTGCTTTTTATAAAACAGCTCAAGCTAGAAACAATGTCATAAATCTTCATTAGCCAGCTCCTCAAAAGACTCATAATGCAGCCCTGTCGTAAATAGCCAGGTCATAAATAGTCTGGCGGAAAAACTAAGTAATAAACATCCTGTGTTTAGATTTTTTGATTACTAGAGTCAAAATGCTATCTATATTCATTAACGCAGTACCTTTTAAACGATTTACCTCGTTTAACTTGTTACCATCATAAAAAAGTAGTTGCACTGATGTATGGGAAGATGACAACCAGTTAGACACCAAAAAAGTCTATACTACAAGGTCCAGCAAAAAAACACATCAACCCTTCTAAAGTGAGATGTACAATATATTCATCATATTTGTTCTCTAACAAATCATTATTTCATTATGTTCAATACTATGTTGGTTGTTGGATTGTAAAACCTTGATGGAAATAAAGATGCATTTGGAAAAAATTACATTACAGTTGTGCCTCCTGGAGCATGCTAAAACATTTTAAACAACCCTTCAGCACACCCCTAAGAAATTTGGATTGATAGTGTTTACTCTGTGAACGCCCTTATCAGGGACCAGAAATGATGCATTTGCAGCTCTGTGCTTTCTTTTGACATTAAAATTAAGGATAATGAAAGTTATGTTTCTGAAAGCTAGTGAACAAATCAGATTTACTCTGCAAGCAAACTGGATTCTACATGGGACCAAATACCCAGAGGAAGTGTGCCGAAGTAGTTTTCACAGTTTGTTACTGTTGCTTATATCTGTTTTTTAATTTCTTTTCTGTAAATATGTTGCCATATATTGGTTGTATTAGAACAGGTTAGTATATTGGGGGGTGGTGTGGCTAGAGGTGCTCAGATATAAGTTTAAATGCAACAAATGTATAATTTCATCTACATTTGCATTTTTTGCAGAGGTAAGTTATAGCTTACTGGTGCATCCTCCATGCTGCTCAGTCTTGGGAACTGCCAGATTGTGCCAGCTACAGCTCACAGTTGGTTAACCTATCACAAAATTTTCCTGCGTCAGACACACTTCAGGCAAGGACACGGGCCCCATGATCCCCTATTGCCCGGAGGCCCCATGAGTTGTCAGTCCGCCCCTGCTTGATTAAACTATTTTACCATGAAAATTGTACAGCTTAGGTCTTTCAAAAAATAGTGTTTTCTGGAGGTCTACTTTAGGTCCTTGCTAAAAAGATCAGTATGATCAAATGTTTTTTTTTTTTTTTTAAATATAACTTTAACAATATCGATACTTGCATGGTAATATGTACAACCTCTTACATAGACAATAGTGTTTTTTATTCACTGAATTGATGGGACTCTGTATCTTCCACTGTACTTTAAAACTTTCATAATTTTGGTTTGTGATTTTATTTTATAATGTCTTCATGTAACAGATATTTCATAGCCCAAATTATCCAGTCTCTGAAGGATCAGTTTGGAACTAGAGCAACCTATTCTCAGTAATTTTGTGAGACGCATGCAAGAATAATATGTTGCACTACTCCCTTAGGGGTTGGCTGTACAGCCAGGCAACATGTACTTTCACAATAACTTGCATCCAGGAGACAGTAACCACTCCTTGAGCTTTGATTTTAAGTTTTATTAGGGGATTTGAACTGGAATAGAGTTAGGGGTGTATGGGATGCCCAATGGAACTGCAAAACCGAGGACAACTCCCTGGAACTATGTACAAGTTTTCTTACAGCAGAAAATCCTCTTCTTGGAGAGCTAGCCAGCATCTCTGGTTGTACCACTCCAAGACCCTAGATTCTCCTAAACCAGCCGATCTGGGTGAGTCCCTGAGCAGGGTATCTAGTGCCTGTCATTTTAAAGTCAGACAGTCCCAGTTAGTTGCTAATCTGATTTCCCACCAGAGTGCTCCTTCCCCTATCTGGCCCAGGGGGTGCAGGTTTACTCACATAGTCCTTCTCCTGTTTTGCTGGTGGGTCGGTGGCTGCTACCAGGCCTTCTAGCTGGGATGCTCCTTCCCGGTCACACAAGTGGTCCTCTCTCAAGGGCCCGCTGAAGTCCCAAGTTTTCCTCCTTCCAAGATCCTCCTGCCTGGAGGTGAGCGCCTCTCCCATCTGGGCCCCCTCCCTGGTTCCTGCTCTCCAGCCTCACTTCCTCATCTTCCACCCAAACTCTCCTCCAACTCTTCTGCCGCTGAGCAGGCTTAGTTACTCTTAAAAGCTGCCCTGGCCTCCTGTTAGGGATTGGCCAGGATCCTCTAAGAGTACAGACCAGGCACTTCTCACCTCTGCTCACTGCTTCTACATCTTTTTCCAAAGTTCTAGAGCAGGGGGAAATCCTAGAGAGCTGGTCTAAAGAGCCTCTCGGCTCTGACCGCAATTTGACTTGCCTGGCTATAACACCCAGGCTGCTACTCAGCCTCTATCTACCAGGTAAAGCTAAAGCTCCCCCTGCTACAAATATTAATGATCCAGATTTGTTTCTTTTGTTGGAATGCAGGTGGTATTTAAACCGCACTGTGGAAGGTGTATAGATACTGTTGTAATAAACAGTTTATGGATATTTTGTCTTCTCTGAGGTTCTCTAAGGTTACATGATTAAAACAAGTTGAATGTTGATGAGTAATAAGTATATATAGAACTATGGCTGGGATTCCATTTCTATGGATCATGTGGTTTATTGTGGGCAAGAGAGGCTTTACCCAATGAGAGGCAGAGTACTAATAGCTAGGATTTCTTCTTACTCATAGCGGCATTAAGCGAAATATTAAGCCCATTTTGATTGTTGGATATGTATTTTTTACCCCTGGAGATTTAAAACTATGTCAGCCTGATACCCTTTTTGATGTTTAATGCACTATCGAGTAGTTTTTGAGCCATATCATTTGTTTACACAAGGGTGTGGATCCTGAAGAAGCAAGAATATCACAAAATGTGTCCTTCCACTATGCCATCTTGGAATTGCAAATATGTGTCTGTTGTATCAAACTTGATATGGCAATTGACATAGTTTCTTGTCATTTTAACAAGATTTTAACTATGTAATAAAGTTGTTCATATTTTATTGATTATGTCGTGTACAGTATGTCTTCCTTTTTAAGGCACGTTTAATGTCTCAATTTACTCTCATCATTTCCAGTCAGTGGGGTTGTGGAGAAAGACTATTATAGTACTTGGAAAAAAGGGATGGTGCCATAAGAGGTCCTACCATTGGCCCTAATTGTGTGAGTGTGTGTACATGTGTATGTGTGTATATGTATGTGTATGTATGTATGTATATGTATGTATGTGTGTAGGCTGGTTTGTAATTATGGTACTTTGTATGAGTAAATTATTTTTAGATAACCATCATGATCTCTGAGAGATTTATGGTAGAAAGTGCACTTGTGTTAACATAAAAGGCCAGGCAGAACATGGAGTGTTTTCTATGAATAAGGTTGTTGGAATATCACTGGCTTGTGTGAAACCTCTCACTTTCTTATAATTGCATGTTTTGGAAACTTGCAAAAGGGTCTATGCACACTTAAGTGTTTGAATCTATGTATCCATCCTATCCTTCATGGGAAGAACAAAGAGTCAGCTCAATTCATCTTATAGTCAGAGATAAAACGAAGATTCATTGGATAAAATTCTGATTCATGAGAAATAACATCTTTCAGTGTTTCATTATTTTATCTGAAGGTGTAATCATCCCACATTTATGTATTTTTAAATTACATTGTGTTTAACATTTGTGAACTCATTGTGAAAATGTTTGAGCCCACCCTCATATACATGCACATTCATATATAAACGCACATGGTGGGGGCATCAACATACAAAAATGTTGATGGCAGTAAACCTGTTACATATTGCCACACACCAGAGTGAGAGCAATAATTCTATGACCATTATTTACGGTTAACTCTAAAATGATAACCTGCAATGGCATTAAAGTGTCATCTATAGGAAATTTTTGGTACCAAAGTTTGTCATTGGGCAGGCCCAATTTTAAGACTTTGTGTTGGGTATCTATTTACTTAGCACAACTTCATCTTTCATATTTCACCAAACAATTTGATAAAAGCCTACATTTGTGTGCACTAAAAGTAACTCTAAACTATCTTTTTACTGACAATTTGAAATTGCTAAATCATTATGCTAACATTGTGTAACAGAAAAAGTTGCAACTATCAAGGTTTTTTCTTTCAGAAAATATACTTTATACTGTTTGGGTGCTTTAACTACCGGTAATCTTCAGGCCTAAAATTATTTTTCTAATATGTGTGCAAAAAACAAAAAAAAATGGCTCTTGCAGCAAAAGGGTTAAAGGGACTATTTGGTGGCCCTAGATTCAACAGTAGCTATCTGCCAATTACAATAGATCATTTGATTACCTGTATTGACGTCTCTAGATTTTGCAGCAGAAGCATCCC